ACCACCACACCAGTCTAGCAGTCCTACTACCAGTCTATGGCCAATCTGATGCTCACCACCCCCGCTCGTCCAACCTCGGCTCTGAGTCGCATATTGTCTTGTCTTCTGTTGACATTTAAATTTGGCTCGGGTTGTAACACTGAATAGCCAAATTTGTCTGTTAAAATGATGTGATGATTGGTACTTGATGATAGGTGTTTCACTCGGTTGGGTCGATTGTGTGCATAAATTCAATTGGTTTGTTTGACTGTTTATGAATATATTTAGTTGTTCAGGGAATTCTACCAGTTGACTCAACTGGGGCATGAATTGGTTGAGTTCGCCAACTGTTACCGAGTGAAACCGAGCATTGCCAACCAAATGATCCGAGTGCATGATGGTCGACAGGGGCAGACAACACTGTCGATTGTCTGGCCTCTCCAGGGGTGGAACTAGCACAAAATTTAAGTGTCGATTTTTACTGATGGACCCCTACAATTACATGAAATAGGACATATTTTTTTTTGAAAACCTAGAATTTAAGTGGGTCACGTGTCTCCGCTCCTTGTGCACTTGGTCCGCCCCTAGGCCTCTCCAGAGATGGTCTAGACACATCTGTTTGCATTGCTGTGTCCAGAGACGAGCCATGTATCAGTTCAAAGGACAAGCACGACGAAGAACAGCAGAGGAGTCCTATTTGGTTCAGGTATTAGAGAATGGATTTTTGATGAACGAATGCAAATGGACGACTACATGCGCCGTTGCATGTTCATGTGCGGGAATTTTTTATCTGCTCGGTAGCTCGTCTGCACTTTCCTACTGGTGTGGGAGATTTTACCGGTTCCGACTTGATTACTTGTTTGCCGTAAATACATCTTCAGACTCCAGGTGCATTAGGTAACATGCAAGAGAGCAAACGGTGAACGATGAACCTTGGACAATACTAAGATACTCCCTTTAACTATGAGGAAGTAATAATATCTCAAATAAAACTGGGCGATTGTTTTTTCAGATTTATAAATAACTTAATAAATTAAAAATCCAGAAAAACAAAAAAAACTCCGGATTCTCCTAATAACAGGAGAAAAGAGTGTGGAGAATCTTCTTCCTCCGTGAAAACATCCGTCATGATCCTCCTAATCACGCGAGACTACATGTTACCAAATTGTGGTTAATAACAGAGACGCCCGTGCTCAAACGTCTGGATGTACACGCGAGTTCGGACGCCCGTACCTGGTCCGTTTGCTGCACCATGCTTCCTGTGCCTGCTCGTTTTGCACGGCCGGGCGGGGTCCGTGCCGCCTGGACGTCTCCCACGCACTGATCATACACGGGCGCCCGCCCAGCAGCTGCATGCAGCTGCGGCAGGTGAGTCTCATTCAACATGTATAACATCTAATCTACCTTTACAATATCTAGATAAAACGCTTGCAACATACGTCTGAAACAACTGAAACACTTACAAAACATTTGAAAAAACTTGAAAACATGTGGGTAGTCATTGCAAAACATTGCAACATCCAGATGAAAACAATTGTAACATATGTATGGAAACACCTGAAACACTTGCATATATATGCAACATTCAGATCTACTTTTGTATCATCCAGATAAAACTATTGCAACATATGTCTAAAACAGATGAAACATTAAGAACATACACTTGAAACATACGTGAACAACCATTGCAACATCTCTATTTATTTTTGCAACATCCACATGAAACATTTGCAATATACCTTTAAAACATCTGAAACATTTGAAAGATACATTTGCAACATGCGACATATCCTGATGCGGTCTCCTTCTCCGTCTGCACTGGGGCGCCGCAGCCATAGCAAGAGCGCGAGGCCAGAGGGCTTCCACGCCAGGGCCCGGCGCTTCTCCTTTGCGCTGGTGGCGGATGTCTGTGTCGTCCGGCGCGAACACATGCACAATGGCCTCGGTGGCCCGCTGGCAGCCGAGAAAGTTGTCCCCAGGTGTGGGCGCGGCGGTGCCCGCGCCGTCAGGCGAGGCGGACGGCGGAGCAGCAGCGGCAACAAGGGAGGCCCGGTGGGCATGGGGGTTTGAGCGGTAAAGGTGGCAGTGGTAGAGTTTTGGGGAAAGAAAGGAAGGGAACGCCATAGACGATGGGCGAAGTAGAGCAGGGGGAAGTCTCCTTTTCTTATCCTTATCTGGCCGGCACACGATAGTTAAAAAAAAACTGAAGGCCTATTTGGTTGATCCGCAAGGTGTGCGGTGCAGCTGCAGGCCTAGGAAGGTCCATCCGGACGGACGCACGCCCTGAACAGAGCATTACCCTTGTAATAATGTTGCCTACGACGATCAGTTATGGGCAGAGGATTATATGTATATGACATGGCAAAATTTTTTTAAAAAAATAACATAACACGTTACAGAGATCCAAAAGCTTTCAATCAATTCTGGTCCTCGATCTGAATCGCCACGAATGTTCCCAACGCACCACGCACGGAAGGAGGCCTGGAAGTTAAGTTTAGCATTCCCCGGCTCTCTTGGCTTTGCAACGGGCAACGGCCGACCTGATCAGCGCATGCGTGTGGCCTGTGGCGGTCTGGCCTCGACCTCCACTGTTCAGCCCATGCGCTTCCCGTGAGGCATCCCATCCCATCCCATCCCTTGCACACAGTTCGGTCGCCCCGCCTGCGGCGGCAGGAGAAGGTACGGGCGTTGATCGTGGTCGAACGCCCGTGCAGAGGTCAGCCCGCGGCAAATGCGTTGGGCGTTGGCAGCGGTTTAAGCTAACCGGACAATTAAAAGTTTCACCGAACAGAAGTGGCAACCAATATCTAGCTAGGAGGAGCTCTTGTCAAGAATGTGCCCTGCTAACTCTCAGATAAATCGAAAGAGTGCGCTCAGGCTGCGAATGTGTCGCGCAATTGCAAGATCGTGCAAAAACCCATCAACCCAGCCAGCCTTTAAAGAGCACCATACTCCTTGAGAGTTGAGACACAAAAAAATCACCTCAATCAGATGACAGGCAAACTCCAAGCAATGGCAGCAGCTCCCTACCTCTTCCTCATACTAGTTCTCGCCTTCTCCAATGCAGTAGCAGCCAATCCTCCGCGACGCCCGGGTACCCCCATGGCGTGGCGTTCCGTCGCCAACACCTCCTGCACCACGCCCAGGTACCCCGTCCCAGCAAGGTGACTGCTACATGCCATTGCTGCCTCTGGGCTCGTGCTTCCCCTATTTGACGAATGCAAGCGAGACGACGGCGCAATTCCAGTGCTGCGACGGTCTTGGACAAGTAATCAAAGAGAATCTGATCTGCCTCTGCCACGTGTTCTCCGGGGATATCAGCCGGATGTCGCCCTTGCCTCTCATTCCAACTCGAATGTACCTCCTTCCACTAACCTGCGCAGTGATCGTGCCACCGACTCTCTTGCCCATGTGCTTTGGCAAGTTCCCCCTATTCTATTTATTTTACTACTAGTACTAGTATATATTTACTAGTGTTTTCCTTATTTGCTCTCATAGCTGATCCAGTTAATCTTTTTGCAGTTGAGCATGTCCCACCCATCAATCTTTCCACACCACCAGCCCCACCAAATCCAGAGACCACAACAATAGACTCTCCGTAGAAGAGAAGGGAAGCAGATACTTGAAGACGTACTCGAACCAGATATATATCAAATGAAGTTACTTTAAGATGAAATGAATAGAGTTGCCAAGTACTGACAGGTGAAAACTTGTCTACAGATGTCACAGGCACTCAATTAGTGAGTACTACGCTATATTGTAACTAGCAAGATGGCCGTGCAAATAGGTCGATTGCTAGATTAATCCATATATCTTCAACCCACTTATATATATGTAACCACCGAGCCAAGCTGTCACAATCTGTTAAGTTAATCATGAAATCATTTGTGTTATTACTTCCTTTAGTCCAGTTTATAAGGCGCGGTCTGACATGATACTCTCTCTCAAATTATAATTTAGTAGTTCATTCGTTTCAAATTATAAGTCATTTTGATTTTTCTAGAACATCAATTTTGTTATATATATACCTAGATTTAAATGTGTCTAAATACATAGCAAAATTTATGTAAAAAAAAAATCAAAGCGACTTATAATTTGAAATGGAGGAAATATTCACTTATTTTATATTATATGTTTTGTGATTATAAACTTATAATAATTTGATAGTATATTTATATAGGGTTAAGTGGGTTGGTACCATTAATTTATATAGGGTATACATGGCCCGGTGTTGGCGAGGATGAGGATCAATTCTGTTTACATCGTCTATACATCCATCGGGGTTGTTTAGATATCAATAACGACCACCGGAATCTTGTTTGTGCATACTCCTATCAAACGAGTACACGAAAAAAAAACATATGGGCCGGGGTTGGTTAGATATCTATATATAACGACTACTGGAATGTTGTTTGTACATACCGCTATCTCAAACGAGTTTTCAAAAAACGCACCTCGCTAAAACCGATTGCAGCAGCGGCGATAAAATAACCCTGATCGTACGCGCGCGCTAGCTGCTATAGGTAATCTGTGATTGTGCGAAAAATCAGCTGTAGGCCACTTGGAAATGAAATTTTGTACCGTGTATGCCGTGGCACTCGTCACCACTGCCGTCCAGATTTGTGCACTCGTCACCGTGCCACACGTGCCCCGCCACCGGAACCCTAACGCCGTCCCTACCGGCCTCCCCCCGAGCCAAGGCCGTTCGATTTGGAGAAGTAGAGAGTAAATGGTAGGATATGAAGAAGAGAAAAAATTGAGTGTTGGATTGTTCCAAAACACTCGGTTGTTCTATAGCATTTCTCATGTAGATAAATATAGATATAGATTATAAATGTTCCAGCCAATTGATCAAACCGATGTGCATCGCACGATCAAGGTAGTGCCAAAACCTAAGCAAATCCAAACGGTGCGAACCTAACTAAAAACAACTGCATGCGCACATTCATATGGGGGTGTACGGACATCGTGGATCATGCATGGCATGGCAAATAATTTAATTGGCAACCTAATTATTAAGATCAAGGAAAGCCTTGGCTTCCTCCTCCAGCTGCATCATGGCGACGAACCAACCGGTATGGGTGGGGATGTACATCATCCCAGTAGAAATTGCTGGACATGTCCTTGCTTAGGTCGTCGGTGACGCTGTACTGAGGAGAGCCATTCTCGTCCTCATGCCCGCAGTAGCCCTTGGGATCAAAGCTCTCGCAGCTCGGCCTCAGCTTGTTCTTGAACGTCGTCTTAGCCAGAGTCTCGTCATCACTTCCCGTTGCATCTGCACAAACAGCAAAGAGGAGCATCTAAATCCAACGAACCGAACCCATCGATATGGATGAAAGCATAACCAAACCAACAACTAGAGGCATACTGGGATTAGGTTGGACGGCCCTGGAGAAGGCCGTGTTGAGGTCGAGGAGCATGACGTTTCCACGGTAGTAGCCCAGCTTTTCCGCGAGAAGCTTGTTGTGGGTGGCCGCGACCTCGTTGGTGACGTCGTCGCAGTGGGTGTAGTTGTTGGGCCTGGTCCGGAACGACGTGCAGCCTAGTGGATGCATGTTGTTGACGACGATCTGTTAGGTGATCTCCACCAACGGCCTATTGGGCCCTTGTCTCTACACCCTGATCGGGGGAGCCCAACCCTAATACGGTTGGTGGGTCCCTGTCGCACAGCACACATAAAAGGAAGGTGGGGATCAAGGCTCGGAGTACGATGTTCACTGGAGCCGCCATCCCACCCACAGTAAACCCTAATCCGATCAAAGAAGTGCTGCCAGCGACGGGATGCCCCACCGCACCGCCGTCGCCCCTACAGGATCACCACCGTACCACTACGGACTCCACCGAGCCGGAGCAGTCCCTACACTGGCGTCCAAGTTGCTGCGGTGCCATGGACAGAGTGGTGAATCTTCGCAAAGGGTGAGAAGGCTCACACCGGATCTACGGTTACACAGAAAGGTACACACCTATGATTCTAACAATGGTATCAGAGCCAGGTTGCCTCTGTGTAACCCTAACCCTAACCGGGTAAAAGCAAAGCGAAAAGGGACCGGGGGTGGCGGACGTCACTGGAACCCCGGTCACCACCGCCACCGAGCGGGGAAGAGATGCCGCACCGCCGTTCTCACCGGCGCACAGCAAGAACAGAAAAGATCCGTGTTCGGATCAGAGAAGAGAAAGGGGAAAAGGATCTCAAGAACCCTAACCCACGCAGAAAGCTCGAAGAAGAAGAAGAGTGGATTCGGATTTGGCCGAACCCTAAGACCTAACCCCAATTTCATCCCCATCCCAATCGGAATCAAATCCGAAAAGAAAAGAAATCAAAGAAAAGAAAAATCCAAAGAAGAGAAAAAGAACAGGGGTCGACACACGAACCCTAACCCTAGATCCCGATTCGGATGAACTCCAAAGAGGAAAACCGGATAGGTCAAATCAAAAGAAAGAAAAGGAATCAAAGAAACCCTAACCCTAATCCCCACCTCCGGTTCAGAAAACAGAGATCAATCCAAATCGGAGAAAGAGAGAGGGAAAGGGGATGGGACAAACCTCACCGTGCGTCGAGATGGCCCTTCGCCGGCGCGGGAGAAGAAGGGCCGAGCCGGGGGCGGGCTGTTCGCCGGGCTCGGCCAAGGGGGCGCCGTGGCCAGGCCGCTCGACGGCAGCGTGCTCACCCGTCGGGAAGCACGCGCGCCGGCGAGGGTGCCGGCGACGGCGCCATGGCTGCCTCGCTCCACCGTCGGCTCGCTCGCCGTCTCGCTCTCGGTGGCTCCTGTCCTTGCGCTGAGGAGAAGTGAAGAGGGGAGCCGCTGCGGCTGAGAGAGCGAAGAGAGAGAGTGGGAAGGGGAAAATGAACTAGGGTTTCTAAGGAACCCGGCGGCGGCGGGTTTTTATACCGCCCGAAATCGATGCTCGGTCGTCGGATCGGCGCGGACGGCCGAGATTGATCGGGCCGTCACCGGCCCAGGCGGGCGCGAGGGCGCCGTGGCACTTTGCCGGCCCAGGCCCAGGTTGCGGCCTGGGTGCGGCCTATGCGCGCGCGGACAGATGGGCCGAGCCGGTTTTGACCGGTTTGGGCCGACACAGGAAGAACAAGAGTCCAGTTTCATTTTTTTCTTTTTCCAGGAAAATTGAAAATGCAAATTGGTTCAAAAGAAAAATAGAAAAAGTAATTTTTTCCTGTGGGTGAAATTCAAGAAATTGAGAATATTTTTTTCCACTGCTAAAGAAAAAGTATATTCTCTAGTGATTTTGAACCGACGTGATATTTAACTGGAGAAAAGGAAAGTTTTTCCAGAAAATGTTTATTTCCTGGAAATTGATTAATGGATTAAAGGAAATAGAAAAAGCAATTTTCCCTATGGGTAAAATTTAAGAAAAAGAGAGTTTTTCCCCAGCCAAAGAAAAGTTGTTTATACTCCAGTTATTTTGAACCAATGTGGTATTTAATTGGAGAAAAAGAGATTTTTTTCCGCTGCTAGATTCTCCAGTTACTTTAAACCAATGTGGTATTTAATTGGAGAAAAAGAGATTTGACATGATTATGATGTTGTTATTTTCTGACCAACGTTGTTAATAACATATCATAATTTTAATAATTTATGCATTAATTCTACTTCTGTCCAACGGTGATGTAGAATTAGTGTATAAGAAAAGTTGATAATTTTAATGATTTATGCATTAATTCTATTTCTGCCCAACGGTGATGTAGAATTAGTGTATAAGAACAGATGTTAAGTTTAATGGTTTATGCATTAATTCTATTTCTGCCCAACGGTGATGTAGAATTAGTGTGTAAGAACAGTTGTGAAAGTTAATGATTTATACATTAATTCTATTTCTGCCCAACGGTGATGTAGAATTATTGTATAAGAATAATTGTATGTTTTTTATTTTGACCAACGTTGGAATCAAGGCATACAAATGGTGTTATTTTTATGTTAAGAAAAGTTTTGACCTGGTTTTCATCTTGTCTAAGGTGGACTGGGTAGTCACCTCATCGTGTTCCACTGAGTTTGTGGCACCGGTGAGGGAGATAAAAAAGAATGGTGCCACTTAGGCAACTAAAGAAAGGGATTTTGAATCCCAAAAGATGTCCTATGACTTTTAAGCATAGGAAGTGGGTCGCTACCAACAAGAAATGTTTGGCTGTGATAAAGAACGTGATTGAACCTGTAATTGTGGGCTCAATCCCAGAATGTGACACGGTCACTGAGTACCTCGATAGAATAAAGAGTCAGTTTACTGGCTCTTCAAAGACATATAAAGAGTCAGATCACTGGCTCTTCAAAGACATGCCACTCAGCTGATAAAGCAGCTGGTGACAAAGTGTTAATCTAGAAATTGTGGCATAAGAGAGCTCACGATGCGTTGTCAAAATTATGGCATTGTCGTTTACGCCATATTTCAAGGCGGAGAATAGAAAGATAAGTTAACAAGATATTCTTCCTCCATTAGAGCTCTCAGATTAAGAACAACGCAGAGAATGCATAAAAGGAAAGTATGTAAAGAAAGATGACAAACGAAGCGCAGGAATTTTACAAATTATTCACACAGACATCTGTGGTCAACTTTTCTGTAAAGAGTGTGGATGGTTATGATCCGTTCATAACATTTATAGATGATTACCCCCATTATGGCTATATTTATCCAATCAAAGAAAGAAAAGATGTATTGAATAAATTTAAGATATTAAAGATTAAGATAGTCAGGTCTAACCGTGGTGGAGTACTACGGTCGGTATACCCTAAAAGAATGGCATAGTAGCCCAGTATTCTACACCGGGCGAACCTCAGCAGAATAGAGTAGCTCAAAAAATCAATCGTACCCTGATGGATATGGTGGGCAGTATGATAAGTTACTCCACCTTACAGTTGAGCCTGTGGATGGAGACGTTAAAAACCGTCATTCATATTCTCAAAAGAGAACCAAGTAAGTCAGTGCCCAAAACACCATATGAGTTGTGGACAGAAAGAGTACCCTCACTAAACCACTTGCTTGTGTGTGGGGGAGCCCTGCTGAGGCTAAAGTATTTAACCTAAACATTGGGAAGTTAGATCCAAAAACAGTAAGTTACCATTTGTTTGGCTACCCAGAAAAGTCAAAATGTTTTCGTTTTCTACTGTCCAGAGAGACATACAAAGTTTATGAAAACGGGACACGCTGTCTTCCTAGAGGATGAATTGATGAGGGGGGGCATGGTATCTCGAGAAATTGATCTTGAAGTGAAGCGGGTGGATGTGCCCACTCCAATAATTCATGAGCCATTTTTCTCACTAACTGTTGTCGCTGCACCGATAGTACTAGATACTATGGTGCCAGCACCTGTTGTTATCCCACCTGTGGCAACAATGAATGATGATGGGGAACCTGTTCTTCAGGATCCTAAAGAACCTATTGCCACACATGAGGGGGAGCAACAACAGCCTCAAACAGAAGATGTGCCAAATGTGAAGGCCCTTAGAAGGTCTCAAAGAGTCAGAAAATCATCTATTCCTGTTGATTATTAAGTGTACAACACTAAGAAATTTCAAATGAAGGATGATCCCACCTCATTTGAAGAAGCCATGAGAAGTGATCATTCATCAAAGTGGCTTGAGACCATGGAAGATGAAATGAAATCGATGAATGCCAATAAAGTTTTGGGATTTGGAAATAATTTCTAAAGGAGCCAAAACAGTAGACTATAAATGGGTCTACAAAACAAAACTTGACTCTCAAGGGAATATAGAGATATATAAAGCCCGACTTATGGCAAAAGGCTTTATGCAAAGAGAAGGGATTGATTACAATGAGACCTTTTCTCCAGTCTCATGTGAAGTTTACTTTAGAATCATAATGGCATTAATGGCACATTACAATTTAGAATTACATCAGATGGATGTAAAGACGGCATTTCTCAATGGGGACTTAGAGGAAAATGTTTACATGGCACAACCGAAAGGTTTTGTCATGGAAGAAAAAGAACGAATGGGATGCCACATAAAGAAATCCATTTATGGATTAAAACAAGCTTCAAGACAGTGGTGCCTGAAGTTTGATCAGATAATAAAGAATTTTGGGTTTAAAGAGAATGTTGAGGACAATTGTGTTTATGCAAAGTTTAAGAAAGGAAAGTTTATCTTCCTTGTCCTGTATGTGGATGATATCTTACTTGCTAATAGTGATGTCAGTCTACTACTGGATACAAAGAAATTTTTGTCCTCAAAATTTGATATGAAAGATCTTAGTGAAGCTTCGTTCGTTCTAGGGATCGAGATTCACCGAGATAGAAGAAAATGGGTATTAGGACTGTCACAAAAGGCATACATAGAAAGAATCTTAAAGAAATTCAGTATGCACAAATGTAGTCCCTCACCTGCTCCTATAGTCAAGGGCGACAGATTTGGGGATTTTCAATGCCCCAGGAACCAATATGAGCTCAATGAAATGAAAGTGGCTCCATATGCTTCAGCTGTCGGAAGCTTGCAACATGCTCAAGTATGTACGCGCCCTGACTTGGCATTTATTACCGGGTTACTTGGCAGATTCCAGAGCAATTCTGGAACAGAACACTGAAATTAGTAAAGAAAGTCTTGCATTATTTGCAAGGAACGAAAGACCTCATGATGACATATAGAAGATCTGATTCACTCCACATAGTGGGATATTCAGATTCTAATTATGCGAGAGATGATAGTAAATTCAGAAAGGATATGTATTCACTCTCGCAAAAAGGGGAGCTATTTCATGGAAAAGCTCAAATGCAAACCGTCACTACATTGTCCACAATGTATGACAGTTTGTAGCGTGATATGAGGCAACGGGGCAGGTGAACTGGCTAAAGAAGTTCATACCCGGTTTGAAGGTGGTTGACGACATCTATAGACCACTTAAGTTATACTGCGATTATAATCTGGTAGTACAGTATGCTCACAACATAAGTCAAGTGGTGCTGCCAAACACATTGACATAGAGTATTATGTTGTGAAAGATAAAGTCCGGGATCAAGTCATAAATCTTGAGCATATAAATACAGAAAGGATGCTCGCGGATCCGCTTAGAAAAGGCTTACCACCCAACATGTTCAGAGAATATGGTGTTCAAAGAACATGTAACTAGCATGGGTTTAAGGAAAGGCCTAAAATTCCTGGACAAAAGAAGGCCCAAAGATAAGTATCTATTTCAGAACAGAGTCGTGTGTTGTAGCTGTTAAGTCTATCGGCAATGGACCGTGACGATGAGACATGCTCTATGCGCTAATCTATAATGGAATAAACAAAAGTAAATGATATCAAAGTGAAAGATGGAATGAGATCAAGGGGAAGAATGTTAGTTGATCTCCACCAATAGGCCCAACGGTCTATTGGGCCCTTGTCTCTCCTCCCTGATCGGGGGAGCCCAACCCTAATACGGTTGGTGGGCCCCTGTCGCACAGCACACATAAAAGGAAGGTGGGGATCAAGGCTCGGAGTACGATGTTCACTGGAGCCACCATCCCACCCACAGTAAACCCTAATCCGATCAAAGAAGTGCTGCCAGCGACGGGATGCCCCACCGCACCGCCGTCGCCCCTGCAGGATCACCACCCACTACTAGAGAACAGACTTTAGAACGATATCCCAATTTAGCATTAGTCTCGGCATTTTTTGCCCTCGGGACTAAAGGTTCCTTTAGTCCCGGTTGGTAATACCAATCAGAACTAAAGGTTACTTTACTCCCGGTTGGAACCACCAACCGGGACTAAAAGTCCTCCAACCTTTAGTCCCGGTTGGTCCCGGTTAGTAACACCAACCCGGACTAAATGACCCTTTAGTCACGGTTGGTAACCCCGATGGGTTAGTTCAAAAGGAAAGCATCCCATTCATTGTTAGATGTGTTGTGTAGGTGGGGTGGTAAGCTCGCGCGAGGCAGTGCATGAGGTCTTAGGTTCAAATCTCATAGGGCGCAGCGGTCGGAGACATTATTTTTTTTTAAGCTGGGAGGATCTTTAGTACCGGTTGTGGTAAACCGGGACTAAAGAACACCACCTTTAGTCTCGGAACGCTAGTCCCGGTTGGGAAACCGGGACTAAAACTAGTTCCCAACCGGGACTAGATGTCAGTTCTGTAGTAGTGACCGTACCACTACGGACTCCACCGAGCCGGAGCTGTCCCTACACTGGCGTCCAAGCTGCTGCGGCGTCATGGACAGAGCAGTGAATCTTCGCAAAGGGTGAGAAGGCTCACACCGGATCTACGGTTACACAAAAAGGTACACATCCATTATTCTAACAGGATCCTGTTCAACCCCGAGATCCTGCAGCCGCTGCAACTCGGCGATTCCCATCGTCACGGTCTCGATCAAAGCCAAGGTCTGCAACCATATATAGGCACGTCGTAAGTCGTAACACGTATCCCTATATATGTAGATTGATATATAGATCATTTCGACTCACGTCGTCGGCGGAGCTCATGTTGGCGAGGCGGGCGTAGTCGTTGCCGGAGACGGACGAGCGCGAGGGAGAACCTGAGGCGCCAAGGCGGGAAGGTGCGGTCCTTGATCAGGCCCTCAAAGTTGTCGACCTGCTTGCTGAGGGTCGCAACCTTCTCGGGCACCTCAAGCACGCCGGAGCCGGCCACGGCGAAGTTCATGCCAAACCGCCTGATGTCGTTTCTGTTTCTGAGCCTGAAAGTCTGAGGGGCTTCATGATGCCCTAGCCACGAAGCTGCATGCAGTAACATCGACGTAGAGCATATATGGATTGATTAACTATGTTAGATCGATGTAAAAAGAAAAAAGAAAAATCACATCATGTACACGATCGATCGAGATGATAACATGTCATCAGATTAATGAAAGATCGATCTGCATATGCAAACAACTGATTGGACAATTAGAATAGACTGATTGTCATCGAGAATAATGATTGTTTGAGCTTACCGATGAAATCAGATTGGACGAATCTGTTTGAGAAGCGGCCGCTTGGACTTGGATTGCCGTAGGGTTTGTACCATTGACGCGACTCACGACTCAGATTTGATTTCGGCACGTTGCCGGTGTCAGCGTACGAATCTCCGAACACATACAGCTGGTACATCATCCCACTCCGACGCGACTCCACATGAGCAGCTAATTTGACCCCAGATGTAAACCATAAATCAGCAATGAGCTAGCTCGAAGCTAATAAGCGTAGCAAAGTACAGTTACCATTCATGGCGACGAGGAGAAAGACGAGGACAGGAATGATGTTGGCCGCCAAATGCTTCATGGTGGCTTGACTATGTTTGCGCGCCGCTGTAGGGCTAGATGAGGAAGCTGTTCTGTTGTTGTGGACGCGAGCGGTATATTTATTGGGTTGAAGTCATCACAACACCCTAACAAACTTTCTATTCAGTTCGATTGTATTATCCTGGAATATCATGCATTCAACAGATATAACCCATTTTGGCATGCACACGCACGTCCGTGAGACCAAATATTTGTGATTTTAGTTACACTCGGCTAGATTATGATAACATAAACTTCAATCCCAACTTTGATCCCGTTCAAAGGAAACTACCATATATCCCTTAATTTAAACAGTTTGTTATCTGAATAAAACAAACTGGCATGGTGATCAGCGCAATTGAACAGCTAGTATATAGTATATCTTCCAATTTTTTATGCAATTTAGTCTATACTCTTCTCACTTGTTTTTACTCTTCATTTGCCATATATTCTGAAGTAAATGGCTTCATTAGCGTCTATTGGCACCATAAATAGATGTCTAACCATGAGTGACATGTGTGTTACATTTACATCTTACTTTATTGTTTGGCTAACGCCATGGCCTCAAGCTATATACCGGGAAAAAACTTGTGAGTGAATCGAGATGTCGCATAGAGGGGTAGTAATAGACTGGGGCGCTCAAAGAGAGCCCGAGCAGAGCTCAAAGTGTCTATGAGATCATGTGTTTTTATCCTTCCAGCATATAGCACAAAGAGACGAATTCTTTAGCATACGTCTGCGCCGGAGCCCGGCCGGGAGTCCAGGGTTGTTGGGCCCTGGTCCACCATTGGAGTGAGGGTTGAATAGGCAATTTTGAAAAAATAAAATAAAACTTGCATCGGATAATAGAACCAAAATTTCTTATCCAAGTCAGAATTTTCAATAATGGGTAACACGTACGAAAACACAAACCAACATATATTACGTCTATTTAATTGATTCTACTTGCTATCAAGGGTTGCTAGACATGTAGTAGGTTGGTTCCTCCTGAAACCTGCAAACAAAAACACAAGACTAAGTAGATCAGGGTGAATCACCCAAAAGTCAACAAGAACAATAAGAACACAAGAACAAGTAGTGGTGACATATTTACCAAAGTTCAGATTCACCTCTGTGAAACCTATGTCTTTGTTGAGGATTTCCCAAGCCAAGTCTCTTTTAACCACTTTAATTTACTAACTTCACTATCTTGATTTCTTCCCTTGCGGAAGTGAATGGTTTCAAAACGCCCAAAGAGCAAATTCGGATGGTTTGAAAAGTTGGAGGAAGTCATAGTTTTTTGTTGACTCAGGGAGCTATAGGGAGGTAAATCAGACTTCGACAAAAATTAAGGAAGGTCAAATAGACTTTTTCCATATATCTACCACATTTGTATGATCATGGCCCCCGACAACCTGGCCTAGATCTCATTGTCAGTGGCAAGTGGATTTTACGGTCTTCAAAGCCATGTTTGGCAAGGGTGTTTGCAGGTGCCCCTTTCCTTTTCTTGTCTTTGCAATGCGATCTTCAAACTCCCACCTACAGTGGACGTTCAAAGGAAGAGGACAACTTTTTTTCGTGATCGTACCCTAAGGCACATATTTCATTAAGTAGAAACAAGGAAGAATACGACTAATTTGATATTTGATGTATTCTTATTTTTAGAGAATGTTTTCTATCTTTTTTGTCCATCGTTTGTACTAGCCTTTGTTCTCCTTGAGATATGTCAGAAGTGAACACTCTTTTGAGTGTCTTTATAAAAAACAAAAGCTTTCCTAACGTAGCACCATAAAAGAAGACGATTGACACACTCAAGTGCAGAGAAAAGAACATGTCTTATACTACTTTTCTTCAACCCTTTTTCTTCAGGATAGCAGTATCATTGAACTGTCATAGAAAAACTTTTACTGCCACATCGTTTCCATTTTCCAAGTTAGTTGGAACATGCATTCATGCTAGTTATTATATGAATTCATGCATGGAGAGTGAAGCTGCGTAGTCGTTCAGGTAGTTCTTGCATGCATGAAGAGTGAAGTGACGGCGTGATGCTGACCACTAACTAATGCAACACAACACTGGAGTAGTAGGGTAGTCTTGGCTGTATCTATATAACATCTATTCAAAATAATAAAGAAGTAGTGTTACGCAGTTTGTGTAACACCCCTGGTGTTTGCCTTACATTGGTGCATCTGCATTGCATCACATAAGCACATTCATATCATTACCACATGTGCATCATTCTATGTTTCCATGTTGCAACACGGTGTTCTTTACTGCTCATGTATGTTTGTACCTTCTGTGGTGTCTGTGTGTTATGCCTAGTACCCTAGAGGGGTTGTACATGTCCCATGTACTAGGGTCCAGTGTTTCAACGGATTGTTTCGCTTGTTTCGAGTTAACATTCCATGTGTTGCAAATGCATGTTTAAATTGATTTGAGAAGCTAGAGCAATTGCATCACATGCAAATGAATGTGGTGACCCACCAAAACACCCTAGCTACATTTATAATGTCATTAGGAACAATGTTCATAAAGGTCATTAGTCCAAATTAGGTTTCTAAGCCCTAGTTGACTCATGTTGACCCTAGAACTAGTTTTGTTTGACTATTTAAAAAGTGCAGCTTGGAGTGTTTGCATGGAGGAGCACCCTTAAGCAAAGTTGTAGTAAACTTGCTAAGGAACAAAAGTTGTTTTATGGTCATCTCATGAAAATGATCAGAACACCCTCAAAAGTGGCCCACATGGCAGAATTGGGGCTGTTTTAGACTTAGCAAATTTTGCTAAGTGTTAAGCTGTTTTCTGAGTTTGGGGTTCATACTTTGGAACAATGTAACTCCCAATCTACGTCGATCTAGCTCTAACTCATGTTGACAAAGTTGTAGTTCCCATGTAGCTCTACATCTTGTATTACTGAAATTGTGGCAAAGGACGAACAGATTTGGAGTTATGGATCGTTGAAAATGCAGTTTCAGTCGGTCTGAAAATGAACTGCAGAATTCAGTTTTGGGGTGCCCTCCTTTGGAGCTCCGTATCTTCCAATACCGTCCGAATTAGCTCTTGATCCTTAAAGCAATATTGTTCACCTCGCAAATATGTACAACTTTGCCTCTTTCGCTTGATCACTGGACCACCGGATCGGGAGTTATTGAATGAGAAAGTTAGAGTTTGATCGTATTTTTTCGCGGTGGTATTCGTAATCATCTGAGCAGCAATGGCCGACCGCGTGCAGGTGATACGAGCCGCGTGGCCTCGCGCGCGCACGCATGCATGCCACGGCGCCACGCTCGCTCATTTTCAACGCCCGAGTGCCCTCCTTGCTCTCTCATTCACTCCATCTGCGCACCTCTCGCTCCTCTGCTCTCTCTCGTCGTCACGGTGCGCGCAGACATGGCCGACAAGCGAGCTCCTTTTGCTGCCATTCTTCCTCCGTCGAACATCCTTGGAGCTCCCATTCGCCTCCACCTTAGCCACTCCCTGCTCCACTGCCCTCTCGCGCCCTCATCCTCCACCTTGGCTCGCCGCCGCTGCTCCTCTCCGCATGGGGCTTCCGCCATGCATGAGCTTTTGTCGGCCTTCATGATTCTTGAGTGGCGGGCCACCTTCGGCCGCCTACCGGCCATCGGTGACCACCGGCCAGTGTGCGCGGGCCTCCGGTGCTCGCCGCCCGCTCCACCATCGCCGACGAGGCCCCTACGACGACCGTCACGAGCGAGCCACAGTGCCTCCTCTCGCTTCCTAATCCCGTCAGGGACTGTTTACTAGAATTCGACGAAAGTCAGGGGCCTAACTGCAATGTCATTGACTCAAGTGAATAGTGCTTCCGAGGACCTATTTGTTGTAAATCGGGTAAAACTTTGAAACTTCATATTAAATCATAGGAAATTCGTAAAATAGCAAATGAGGACTTTTTGGAATCCTTGTGAAATTGTCTATGCAGTAGATCTATAATATGTCATGTTTCAGTTAAAGTTTTAGCTGTAAAAATAGATTTATGCCGCTAGGTTTTTAATTCTAGTTGTATTTGTCTTTTTCATAACTGCAGTTGTAGGGCTCCAAATGAAGTGAAATTTTTGTGGCATGCTACTCATGTGATGTTTGATGTGTGGTAAAAATTTCAGGATTTTAGGCTTGATCAATTTAGAGATATGAAAAATAACAAATGACATATGCTGCTTTGCTTCTATTCTGGACAGTTCTGCATGTATGCATTGTTTGGCTCAGTTAAGTTATGAATCATGCCTTATTGATAATAAATGAGTTGTAGTAATTTTCATAAGCTTTTCAAAGCTAAAGAGCACAATTTTGGTTAAGTATGTGTTTAGCTATAGTTGTTTAAAGTACTGTGGCAGTTTCTGCCCAAACCCAGACAGGGTTGCTTTTGTGTGCCATGTGTGACCTTGTTAGTAGCAGAATTAGTTCTAGATGTTTATAGCAAAGTTGTTCAAAATTTGTTAAGCTTTCCAAAATTCCAGAACCATATTTATTGGACATGTGGAACTCAACTTATAGCTGTTTAAAGTAGCATATCAGTTTCTGTTCATGTTTTGGATATAGATGTCTTACTTGGTTTAATTGACCTTGTTAACTATGAAATCATCTTAAGATGATAATAATAAAGTTGTAGGTAACTTTATAAGCTTTCCATAAAGTTAAGAATCATATTTGTCGGAGGTCTAGAACTCCATTTATGCTTCTCTAAAGTTCCTATAAGTTTTCTGTCCATAGCTGTGCCTCTGCTGTTTAGGCTGCTGGTGCAAGTGTTACTTGTGCAACTAGTTTCATGGTGTAAATGATGTTTACTGTAGTTTTGGTAAATACAAAAGTCGTAGATGATTATCTTATCTTGCTTGTGTTAAATTTTCATGATCCTAGGTCTGATAGTTTAGGAGTTGCATGCTTAATAAGTCTACTGTCAGATTTTGATTACATTCTGCGCAGACTTAAAAGATTAGCATGTTTGGTCATGATAACTTGGGAATCATGCTGAGATGATTAAAGATGAAATGTGGATAATTTCCTAAG